GTAGATCTTGTATAACTATTATTAAATGAATAAATTTTATTTTTTTAATAAAATATATGTTCTATAGTATAAATATTCGATTTAAATTTAATAGTTTCAGTCAATACCAACATATTAACTGTATATACAATTTCAATATTTAAACTGTAAATCAACATTTTATTATCAAGAACATGATTTTTAAATTTAGAATTTATATATTTTATCAATTTCTCAAGATCAAATTCATGATTTATAATACGTTCCTTAAATATAGTTGATTTCTCAAATTTGTTATAGAATTTTATGATTTCAGCATAATCTAGTATTTTGATATCTTTATTATCATCGAATTTTTGATATTGTGTAAATTTTATATTTGGCATTTTTTTCTTTACGTATCAGTTATTTTATCAATCTTTTATAGCTTTTGAAATTGTAGCTTAGTTCTGAACGATTATATAAAGACTTAGTTTTCACCTTCATCTCTGTCTAGTTTCAAAAGAAAACCAGACAGAAATTTAATTCATCAAAATCTATATCAAAGGTAAGAGAGATTCGCAACCTGTATATCTAATTTAGTTATTTATTTTCTAAAATTTATACTAACTCTTACTGTTCTAAACGGCAACTTCACGTGTATGTGGCTACTTGTGACTGGTATTCATAATTGTGATTCATTTACTTGAATTATTTATGTTATAAATCCAGATGCCTAAAGTTTCTAAAATTAGATATTATGCTATTCATGCAAGATGTAAACCAGGAATATATTATTCCTGAGAAGAATGTAAAGAACAAATTCATAGGTTTCCTGGTGCTTTATTTAAATCATTTGAAATAAAGCAGCAAGCAGAAGATTATGTAAACAATATGATTGAAAAAGAAAATATATTTGTTTGGACTGATGGATGTTGTGAAAATAATGGTAAAAAAGATGCTAGAGCAGGTATTGGAGTTTATTGGTCAGAAAGAAATCCATTGAATTTAAGTGAAAGATTACCAGGATATTTACAAACAAATAATCGAGCAGAAATTTTTGCAGTAATTCGTGCTATTGAAACTTGTATAGAAAATGATAAATGCTTAGTGATATATACAGATAGTATATATGTGATCAATTGTCAAGGAGTAAAGAATCCTAAAAAGAATCTTGATTTAGTTATTAGATTGAATGATCTGATTAAAGAACGAAAAGGAAAAGTTGTTTTTAAATATGTTAGAGGTCATCGTGGAAATGAGGGTAATGAACAAGCAGATAAATTAGCATATTTAGGATCACAGAAACCATTTGTAGAATTAGTTATACCTGAATCTTTAAATGTAAACAAAAAAAAGAGAACTATAAAAGATTATTTTAAAAATAAAGATTTATTTCATATGACGATCGGGAGGCGATTCAACAACGTTGTATCAGGTGAGGGACCCGAATCAGAATATGAAATAAACAGAATTTAAACAATTAATCTTAATCAGCCACAGCATCGTAAGCAATCGGGTTTAGAGACATTACCAGCTTTGCTGGTAACCACAGAGAGCCTGGCTGGCTCTGGAAGCCGAAAACAAAGTTTAGTATAATTAATTTATAAAAATAATATATATTTAATTAGTTTATAAACCGATTAAAATTTTTTATTAGTAATTATCAAGATGTTAAAACTTTGTCTTTATTGTAAACAAGATAATCATCCTATTTCTGATTGTCCAGATTATAAGAAACAAAATTTTAATACTCAAATTTTCGTAGACCTATTATGTATCCTGATAATGAAGGTCATATTGTTGAGTATCTTCAAGTCAAAGTTTTGAGAATAACCAAAAAAGGAAAGAATGAAAATTTCAAGGAGAATCAGAATTTTTTAGTAGACAGAAAATTTAAAAAGATTATTAGATCTCATAAATGGTACAAGAAAGAAACAGATATTGTTGATGAGAATAATCAAAATTTTGTTAATCACATGTTTCCAGATATCAAAATTGATAAGATCAAATTTAAAAATAATTATAGTTTTGATTTACGTAAATGTAATATTGAAATTTTAA